TTGGACTTTAATTACAGGGTTCTGTGTGGCAGAGATTGTTATTTAACTAATCTTAAAGATTAAAAGATGCTATCATTATTGTTATTATTTTATAAATAGAATCTCTGAAGCTCAGAGAGGTTAGTCAGTGACCCAAGGCCACACAGCCAGGAGTTTCAGAGTTTAGATCTTGACTCTGGGCTCCAGAATCTGATAAGTCATTCTGGTGGATATTGCTTCTGTATTACTATTAATATTTGAAAGATTTAACATATTTTCTAAACAAACGGAACAGCAGAAATAGGCAACAGGATAGTGGGTGGGTGGGAGCTCAGCAACGGTCTTGAAGGTCCGTCCATCTCATCCTCTTCACATTGGTTTTTCCCTGGTCTCACTTATCCTCTCTACCTCTCAGTCCTGAGTCCTCAAGGATCTTTTCAACAAAGAAAGTCTCCGGTCCTAGGGAGAGGGTGTTCTAGCTTGCCTTTCTGTTGCTGTGATAAAACTGAACAAAAGAAACTTGGGGGAGGAAAGGGTTTATTTGGCTCACACTCCCAGATCACAATCCAGCACTGAGGGAACCAGAGGGAGGAACCTGAAGGCAGGCCTGCTTGCTACTGCATGCAGCATTACCTCTGAACAGAGAATGGAGTCAAGGAATTAAAGCAGTAACCATGGAGGAAGATGCTTGCTACCTGGCTCTCTGGCTGACTCTCTGGCTCAGGCTCAGCTAGCTTTCTTATATAGCCCAGGCCCACCTGTCTAGGGATGGGGCTGTCTGTGGTGGGCTGGGTCCTCCCATATTGATCATCAATCAAGACAATTCCTCACAGACATGACCACAGGCCAATTTGATCTGGATAATCCCTCAGTTAGAGGTCACTCTTCCTGGGTGACCCCAGGGTGTGTCAAGTTGACAATAGAAACTAACCTGGGCAGAGGCCTCCTTTTAGATAGCTTAGTGTTTTCCCAGCTGAAATAAACAGATAAGAGAACCTATGTGGAGCCTGTGAGATGTACCCAGCACAAAACAGGCTCTTTATAACTTCATTTGAGTCCAGAGTTTTACTTCGTGGATCACAACTGTCCCTCCACCAGCATGGGGTAGCCTCACTAGCAGCAGGGTGAAACATCATTCACAGGGGATTCTCATGCAGATTCAGGAGAACTTGAATCTGCTTTTCTGCCTTGGGCAAAAAACTTTTGTTTCTAAAATTCCAGTTCTCTATGTAGAAGGCGATGCAAACAGAGGACTGGATGGAGCTGTGGGGAATAAATGAGCACCCAAGTTAAGGGTGACGTGAGATAAGTGCTCAGTAAGAGCCAGAGTTCTCATTTTGAATATAGATCTCACAAGACGAGAAGCACTGCTTTATCCCTGGATATCTTTCTCCTGACAGTGTTTGCCATAGAGCAGGTATTCAATTTTTTTTTAACAAATTAATGCGTGAGTGGATGAGACAAATCACTTAGCTGCTAGCTTTAACTCATTCATTGAAATTCAGGGAACCTGAATATACATTTCTCAAAAGAAGACATACAAATGGCCAGCAGGTATATGAAAAATATTCATGGCTAATCATCAGGGAAACACAAATTAAAATCACAACAAGACATCACTTCACAACTGTTAGAATAGCTGTTATCAAAAAGATGAATGATAAAAGCTAGTGGTGAGAATGTAGCTCAGTGGAAGAGCACCTGTTCAGCACGTGTGAGGCTCTGGGTTCAATCCCCACTGCAAAACAAACAAACAAAAACTGTTGGTGGGGATAGGGAGAAATGTGCATCCATTATGGACAATGGCATGGATACTCCTCTAAAAATAAAGCTACCATAGGATTCAGCAGACCTACCCCTGAGTGTGTTGAGAATTGTTCTATTTTGGCTTCCTTTTGCTGTGATAAAATATCAACCAAAAGCAACTTGGAGAAGAGATGGTTTATTTTGAAATGGCAAAACTCCATTTTGTTCTAGCTGACTTTTACTTTATCCTGTTTTTGCCCAGTCATTCCCACTGCAGCCAGGCAGGCAGAATATCTCATGCAGGCAATTTCAGGGAGTACATTGTTTCTACAATACTGGGAAACTTATAAGTAGTCAAGTAGCACACCTAGGTAGCACGTCCTCCCACGAGGCATAACTGAAACTTGGTTAACTGAAAACCTCTTTGTTAACTGACCTGCCCCTGGTCTGGTGTAACTATGATGATCTGATGTAACTACAGTTACTGACTTTGCCCCTGGCATGATATAATTGTGGTTTTAAGCTTTATAAAGCCTGCCCTGTTTCTCCTTGGGGTCAAGAGTTCTTTTGGGCATTAGCCCCTCTCTGACCACCAGCTATTAATGAAAGGCTCCTAATTCAACCATCACTACGTAGCATTTCACTGTGCCTCTAGCTTGGTATTACAGTTTCATCTTACAAGTTACAGTCCATCATCAAGAGAAGCCAAAGCAGGAACTTAAGTCAGGTGTCTGAAGTAGAAACCATGGCTTGCTCAGCTACTTTTCTTATATAGCTCAGGCCCACCAGCCCAGGGCTGGTGCTACCCACAGTAGACTGGGCCCTCCTATATCAACTAGCAATCAAGAAAATGCCCCACAGACATACCCACTGGCCAATCTGATAGAGAAAATTTGTCAATTGAGAGTTCTTCTCAGATATGTCTAGACTTGGATCAAGTTGACCAAACTTAACCAGTATAAGGTGATACCTATAACCCCACAATTATTCACAATAACCATGACATGGAATAAAACCAAATGTTCATTTGCTGATAAAGAGATACAGAATGTATGGTCTATGTACACAATGAAATACTGTTCACGCTTTAAGACAAAGGAAACCTGTCCTTTGCAACAACACAGATAGAACTGGAAGGCACCAAGTAAAATAGTCCAGCACTGAAAGGAAACACTTCATGGCCTCACATGCATACTATGGAAATAAAACTGAACTTGGAAACAGAATGAAATTGGAGTGGAGGACACTGGAGAGATTGTTGATCAAAGGACGCAAAAGTTCCATTCAACGGTAGGAATAAACTCAATAAATTTGTTATACAACTAGTGTTGTAGTGTAGTCTTGAAAGTTAGTTAAGCAGTAGCTTTTAAATGTTCTCAGCAACAAAAGATATTCAAGGTAACAGATTTGCTGAATACCTCTATCCACTCTACAATGTACACATACATGTGAATGCCTCTATCCATTCCACAATGTACACATATATGTGAATACCTCTATCCCTTCCACGGTGTACACATATACAAGCGCATCATGTTGCATGCTATAAATACATAACAGTTTTGTTTGCTGATGAGAAGTTTAAAATTTAAACAAAATATTTTTAAATGAGCCATTAAAAGAGGTACTAGAAGCCAGGCATGGTGATGCACAACTTTAATCCCATCACTCGGGAGGCAGAGGCAGGTGGATCTCTGTGAGTTCAAGGCCAGCCTGGTCTACATAGTGAGTTCCAGGACAGCTGGGGCTACAAGGAGACCATCTCAAAAAAGACCAAAAAAAAAAAGAGGTGCTAGAAAAATGAAATAAAAATAAAGGCATTCCCACTCCAAATTTTCAGAGTATCTGTTAACCCGCTTCTCAGAAAAGCCACTTTTTCTAACTTAACATGACTCTCACAGACCTTCTATGTAAGGGAGAAGGAGCATCTTCACATTTCTCCTGGCATTGTTTCTCTGCGTTTTCTTTCCAAACGTGGCACCTCCACTACCCATCAAATTTCTTTAACGGCATTGTTTCTCTGCGCTTTCTTTCCAAACGTGGCACCTCCACTACCCATCAAATTTCTTTAACTTCTTCCTGTTTCATTATTCAGTGCTATGCTGGACGACAGCCTTGTTTTGCCCAGAATTTTAGTTTTAGTGCTTAGGCCCTGTGTAAAGGAAAGCCCCTCTGTGGGGCTTTATGAACTGTGAAAAATTCACATTTGAGGACTACTCATTCCGATCAAGAAGGCCTCCAAAGGTCACTCTTTGAAACTGGTCTTTGCTGTAGAGCAAGCTTCGCCTCTCCTACAGACTCCCTCTGGATACAATCACAGAAGCAGACATGAGAACCAATGGTACATTTATGGAAATAAATGGTACATTTATTTTTTGCAGAAGTCAGAGCAGGAATTAATATAAGGAATGACTCGTGTTCTTTCAAGATATTACTTCTTAAGTTGGATTATTTGAACAGAAAAAATGTGACAAAATGCTTATAATGAGGTAAGTGGCGAGTGTTCATGAAATGGTGATGGTGTGGTTTTGGCTCCAGGTGCTTCAAAGGCTCGCTGGAAATGTGATTCCACAGCTTCCCAGAATCGGATCTTACAGCTATGCTCCATCAGAAGGATTGCAGAACCTCTTACAGGACAAAGGAACCTTATTTCTTACCTAACCTTTGAAAGGCCAGCTTCTCCTGTCCAAGTGGACTTTGTTTTCCATGAGATTTCACTTAGTAAACACAGCTTGTCCTGGACAGAATCTTGTTTCATAAGGCATTCATGGATTAGTAGGACACACACAACTAAGGCCACAAACATCATCTGCCTATTGACAACTCTGCTTTTCTTCTAAGTGTTATTTCCAACTATTATCAGAAACTATCTTTTATAACCAACCCTTGATAGAATATCGAAACACTTCTGGAAAGCCAGAGGAAAAACGTGTTCATGTAATACGGCAGGTGTTCTTCCTATAATTCTGAAATCCTGGAGTCAGAAAGAGACTCATTCATTCCAGTCACTTTCCAGAAGGAAATTCTCATTACCTCTCCTGCAGCACCTTCAGACCTTGCTGTCTGCTGTCTTTGTTGCACAGATGTATTTTATCACTCTCAACACCAAACCAACTATTGCAGACAGAAGCCACTTCCTTTCTCCCATGTGTACTCTCTAGTTTGGCCATCCTTCTGCCTCAGCCTCAATGTGAAAATGAAGGGCAGGTCAATGCTGGAGGACAACTGTGGCCATTGCCTTAAAGAGCATCTGATTTGGATTTTTATTTCTTTTTTGAAATATGGAACACTTCTCAGATTTTTGTGTCATCCTGTGTCGGGGCCATGCTGATTTATTCTGTATTGTTTTATTTTAATAGATGTGCTACTGAAGAAGACGTCTGATTTTCATTTTGAAAAGTCAGCATGAAGACGCTGAGATTCTTGCTTGCTCTATATGTCACTGACTTTAAGGAAAAACATTTAATTCTATCACATCACCCATAAGAAAACATCAAGAGGTTCAAACTCAGCTACTAACATTGCAAAATCAGTTTTTCTATGTGGAGAAAAAAATACTTTCCAGATTTAAGGGACAAGGTTAAAATTAGAACATGGCAAGTCACTCAAAAGTCCAAAATGTTCGTCTTGACACTGTATTTACCCATGCTGGTCTTAAACTCCCTCCTGCCTTGGCCTCTCTGATAGCTGGAGTTACAGGTACAACCATTACACCTGACAGTTTTAACTCTTTAAAACTGAATGCCTTATTCTGAAGCTAAGAATGTATTCACCATTCAAAAATACATTTTCTAATAATACATTTGAACAATAAATTGTGACCAGAGTTTCTTCCTTAAAGTAATTCATTATTCACTAATTGATTCCCCTATCTTGAAAAGAACCAATAGGTTTTTAAAAGTAATTATATGGATATGACCAACTTCCGATTTTTCATTTCTGGAACATATTAATTTTACCTGAATGAGCATCTCTGTTCTATTTGAATGCTTTTACAGCTGAAACGAATCTAGTGATTATATTCGCTGCAGTTAAAGCTAGTTGCTATAGCCCATATATCACTAATTGGAAACCCAGACTTTGGTTTTTTTTATTTTCTTCTTGAAAAGATTACATGAAATACCTTCAGAAATAGCAAAGATGACTTTGTAGGGGTAACATTAGGATTCAATGGCTGTACCGTCCTTCATGGCATAATTAGTAAAAGGCCTAAGATTCATATAATCTGAAGAGGAACCAAGTATCTTCATAGTATAATTAGAAGTAGTAGGCTTTTTCCGTATGCTACATTGAGCAATTCCTACCTGGGAGGAAGCTCATCACAGGAGCAAATGGAGACTGGGAATTAATCACAGCATGTAACTTGCCCATGGGCAGAGTTGAAGCCCCAATGCCATTTAATTCTAACTAATCATTTTGCCTTATGAAGTACTGTCCAACTAAGTGACTCAGATCATTGGAGGTTGTGCAAAAAGACTAAAATACATGGTGGCTAGCAGAATGCCTTCCCTTCCCTCTTGGAATTCTGCATTCCACATAGCAAAGAAACAAACAACAACAAAAAACAATGTAGGAATTTTGCTTCTGGTTCAAGTCTTCTGTTCTTATTAAGTTCCAGTAAAACCAGTAAAGGTCATTGTGATAGGGATATTTTTTTTTCCATCCCTTTGGAATTAAAGCTGACTCACCAAGATTTTAGAATTCTGAGGAAAAATGCTTTCAAATCTGAATCAGTTCAGAGCATTGGAAAACTACCAAGGATTTAACTTGACAATTAGAATGCAACATTTTTTTGTGTGTGGGGGGCATGGTGGGGCACACTTGTAATTCCAGAACTTGGGAAACTGAGGCAGGAGTTTGCGGTCAGCCTGTGTTATATAAAAAGACCCTGTCTCAAAAAAGAGGGGGGAGAACAAAATAGAAATGTGTGATTTTATAAAAGCTCAATTCTTAGGATTTGATAAGTATAAATAGAGGTGGGTTACAGTTAATAATAACCATGCAGGAGTGGCTGAAAGACGGCTCAGTGGTTAAGAGTCCTACAGTACATACTGCTCTTCCAGGACCAGAGTTTATTTCCAGGCACCTGCATTAAATGGCTCACAACTGCCTGTGACTCCAGCTCCAGGGGAGTACAATGCCTCTGACCTCCTTAGAGAGACATCTACAAAAGCACATCCTCTCCCCAACATACACATACACATAATTGAAAATAAACAATTAAAAAAAATGTTTACTCCACGCACAGTGAGTTCTCAATAAAGATTGAGGAACCTATGCTAATATTTAGTCTGTTTGATCTTGTGGCCACTCTGGATCACACCTCCGTGAGTGAAACGCCAACAAATCATACTCTAAGCAATCCTGGCTCTGCTTGCCTCTTTCTCCAGTCTCAACTGAAGCCAGTTTTTTTCACAACAAATTTTTCCCCTTAAAGTATAGGTGAGAATCTGTAGCCTTACAGGAAGCTAGAAAGAAAACCCCGTACCGTGACAGCTAAATTGTCCCTTGCCTAGCCATTCATTGCCTTTGTCATGACTGATACATATTAGGTGCTTAAAGTATGTTGAACTGACCACTGAGGCTAAGACAACTGTGCTCTAAAAGTTAAATGGTGAGTTGAGACACAACTTTGATCCACAATGCAGTGTTCATAGTACTAGTGTTTTAGAGGATAAAGGACCCAAGCATTCCATGTAGGCTTTTCTCCTTCCTACATTTAGTGGTTGGCCTTCTCCCTTAAATGTTAGCCAATTCGATTAGGAAATAAAAATCACTGCCATGTGCATTGTGACCTCCTTCACTTGAGTCTCCCTAAGTCCTTCTTGTGATTCATGAAACATTTCTATCTCAATGAGTAGGAATATCCAAAATCTCAACTGCCTGACTCCTAACTAAGCAAAACAGACTAGATTTGGAAATCAGTTCCACGCAAAGATGTGGGATGCTCCCCCCACCAAAAAAAAAAAAAAAAAAAAAAAAAAAACCAAAAAAAAAAAAGGGGAAAGAGTAGTGGGAAAAAGGAAAAAATTTCAGAAAAGACAAGAGAAATCAATTTTTTTAAGAAACTGAAATTTGAAAACATTTAGTTTTATTAAGAGTCTGTTTTGTGGGAATTCAAGATGGCTCAATGAGTAAAGGGGTTTGATGACTTGAGTTCAGTTCCCAGGACTCACATGGTAGAAGGAAAAAACAGACTTGCAAATTCTCTCTCTCTCTCTCTCTCTCTCTCTCTCTCTCTCTCTCACACACACACACACACACACACAGTGTCATACAAAGTAAATAAATGTAATTACATTTTCTAAAAGCTGTGTTTTAGAAAAGAGAAGTTGGAAGGAACAGACTTTTTACATGATGGCTAATTAAGGAAGATTATAAAAGCTCAAATTTGTGTTTTTGTTTTGCTATTCATCATAGTCCAGAGCTGAAATTTAAATCCTTGGTTTGTCTTCATGCCTTTCACTATCTTGCATGAAATACTGTTTCTAAACTAGCACCAACCAATCTGTTTTGAAAGACTGTTGAAATACAAGATTTACCTGGTTTCTCTGTCTTCATCCTAAAAAGTCAGTCCATCTACTCCATTAAGACACACTGACATTGGAGTATCTGCGAACCAGAGCCGGGCTTCCTACTTCATCTTTCTGGGAAAGCTGTAAGATTGAGTCCACTGCCCAATTCCCTTCGGGCAGACTAGAGGTTGGAGTGAGGTGGGGGGATGAGGGGTGCGCAGAGGAGCACTAAACAGACTCTTCGTAGAGCAGAGTATGGCTTTGGAGTATGGTTGTGTTCAGTAGGCCTTGAGGCTTTTCCATTCCTGTTCTGGAGGATTCTGGACCCTCAGTCTTATTCCCTTGGCACCTAAAGATTGAGGAAACCTATGCAATATTTAATCTGTGATGGAAGCCCATGTAAAATCCGGTTATAGCCATCCTTCAGTACAAGGACTCTAAATCCCAGAATGACTGTAAATGAAGGTAGGCTGGGAGAGGACAAAATAAAGTCCAAGGGAAGGATGTATATTCCCCTCATATCCTACCACCTTGGTCTAACCTGCTCCTTATAACTGCTTCCCACAAATTAGGACTGGGGTTCTGTCACTCAGTTCCTGGGTTCTCAGGTTGGGAAGAGCCCCAGTAGAGTGAACAATCCTGGAAGTGACTCAGGTTAAGTAGATAGGAACTGCTACCAGGGGTAAAAAGCAAATCAACTCTGAGCCTCATCTTTAACCTATCATCTGGTAAAAGCATGCTTTCAACACTACTGTCGTAAAGCACTAGGTGTTTATAGACCAGGATCCCCTTATTAAAGGGGGCTACAGAAAGCCAAAGCTAGCATGTTTCAAGATGGCCACACAAATGACAAATGAGACCTTTTTGTTACTGAGCAGAGAAACCTAACTACTCTCTTGAGCTTTGCTTCATTTATGTCTCACAGATCTTTGAGGTCACATAGCTAAGTTCATTATTAGCTTCCAACTAGCTTTGATAACTCCTGATATGTAACTTCCAGAATAGTTGTCCAAGTTACATTACAGAAACTTGAAGGATGGTGCTGAACACTCTTTTCTATGGCTGATAGATGTGCTAAAGTTGGATGAAAGACTTGGCATCTGTTTTCATATCTGTTCAGCCCCCCTTTGTCGCCTGAGCCTGTGAGGCAGATGCTGCTCGTCTCTCCTGCAGACAGGTACATCATCTGAGGAGTGTTTCACCCAAACTATAATACAGGGTTAACTTGGCCTCTTGCCTTTCAGACATGATACACTTTTCCTTGAGTGTGTGTGTGTGTGTGTGTGTGTGTGTGTGTGTGTGTGTGTGTTATATCCATCTGTACTCATTTGTGCCTATGCATGTGGAAACCAGAGGTGTCTTCCTGTATCTCTATCTACCTTAAGATATACATTTCTTCTATACTGCCTGTGCTGTCTCAGAAACTCAAGCACCTACAGGAGCCTGGCCATAAGGCCAAATCCAAACCACAAGGCCAGGACATTTATGCAGGATGATGGTACCAGCACTAGGAGGTCTCTGCCATCCTGGATTATGTCACCACCTGTTCACCTGAATACCTGAGGATAAAGATTAAGCAGAAGGAAAATGTCTTTTGAACATGCCCATGACCAATAGAAAATTGCCAAACTGTAATCCATCCCAGAAAAATAAATAAAATCCTGCTGCTTCCTTTGTTCTTATGAGCAGCTATCCACCTGTGGACAGTGCTGGCTCCCTTTTGCTGGAAACAACTGGCTCAAACTGAAGTCCTTTTTAAAGGACACTTGCCTGTCTTGTTCACAGTATGTGAATTGGTCCCTTTTCTCCTGTTTCTATACCATAAGATTCCACTGTCTGAGATCACAGGACAGTAGGACATTG